TGGTCCTCAGGTACAAATCGGGGGGAGCTCTGGAAGTTCAGATCCAATGCCGCAGCTGAGGATGGGGGATTTGAGCGCCCAACCTGCGTTGGTGGCGGATAGGAGGGATCGAGAAGTTGAGCCAACCGAGCCTTTCAGGCTCTCTCGCAGGGTTTCAGCTGGGGATTTCGATTTGGGTTCTATGGATTCCTTTAGCCGGTTTGTTCACGCGGTAGGGGGCAGACGGGTTGTTTGGAGGTTCAGGGATGAGTTCACCAACGTTCTCAGGAACATGTTGACGATTGCTGGGGAGCTTATCCTTGGTTACCTAGGGGATGGATCAAGAGAACTGGGTGACCTAGGGGCTGTAGGTCTTACCTTCCAGTCGGGAGTCGTAGCGGGGATTGGGAGACTTAGGGTGTTAGGTTCTACTCGGTCTCAGGGGACTGATGTAGCTCGTGTGTACATTCAAGCTCCACAACAACAAGATTACCCCGACGAGGACTTTAATTATGACCCAGACTTAGACAATATTCCTCATGTGAACCCGCAATTACCTGAACCCATCTTAGGGTTAGTACCGTTTGTATACCATGTCCCTTCCCAAGGGGAGGACTCTGGCAGTGAAGAATCTCAAGCCGATTTTTCAACCTCCTCTGTGTCTAGTGTAGTACCTTCGGAGCCAGAACATGAGCCCTCATTTGCAGACTCTTCATCAGCAGTTAGCAGCTCCGAGGTGCCTGTTTTGCGAGCGTCTATACCAATATGCTACGGGCAAATTCAGTATAGGGCTGAAGAAGAGTACCTTCTAGTTATGTACGTTGATGATGTGCTGAGGGTTCCATTACCAGGGTGGCCGAGAGAAGATATTCAGGCCATAGTTCAAGGGCTGTCTGGGGATTGGACTACGTTTTCAGCCATTATAGAAAGGGATGGGATCCTTCCCAGCAACCCTCCTGAGGTAGTGGAAGTACCCCCGAGCGTCCCAATAAGTAACACACTTCTAGCGTTAGAAGACGCTGCCTTGGTGCCTGCAAACGGGCATTCCGCTGCAACGAATCCGCAGCAATTTCTCATGCTGGCGTTGAGTGGCTTCATCGCTGGACTCAGTCTAGGGTTTTGTGGGCTAGTCGGAATTGTAGGGTTAGAACCGGGGTGTCTTGGACTCACCAGCTGGGTTATCCTAGGTTGGTTATGTTCGGTATGGTATCGGTCGGTTAGGTGCCTGCTTATTTTGCTTTGGGAAGGGCGTTGCGCACTTCCATCGTCCATAGGGTTTGCCACCGAACCTGCCATCTCCCTTCAATCCTGGACTTCAACGTGGAATATCCAGGGGAATCAGAGTAGTCAGGCTCCATGGATCCCTGCAGTATGGCTAGCGCTAATATTACTCTTTGGTCTTGTGAACTCTAATCAAGCAACCGAACTAACTACCAGCTGTGAACCAGACGGGTCAATGGATCCACACGGAGTGGTCATCTCCTCTCAGGCCACCTGTAAGGTTCGTACACCTAGTAATCCCGTAACAGGTTATGGTGTATGGTGGTTAGTGACGATAGGTTGTCTGGGCGTTGTCGTGATCTGGGAATCCACGAAACTGGCAGTGCGCCGGATGTGCTGTAGCCGAAAAACAGCTTTGAGTCAAGTACAGACAGATGACCTTCCAGAAGTGCTTCATCCTCTACCGAGTCACGTGCAGCCATTACCTAGGATCTTGTTTTCACTCTGGAGGGCCAATCTGGACGTTCCAATAGAGCTATATCCTGAAGAGGTTCAACAAGAATACTTTGGGCTCCTAGGCTCACACTTACGTAGGCAAGCGCAAGGAGAAGACTCTTCGGATTAGCTCTGTGAACACCTGATCTCCGGACTACATGTCCAGGAGAATTATGTTAATATCAGAAGGTCCCATCGGTTTCATGCTAAGGATCCTCCGGTAACTATATCGGGCTTTTACATTGCCTCTAGGCCTAGTCTGGGGTATATCGGGTCCTGGGGCGACGAAACTGATGGGTCACCTGCACAGCGGATGTCTGTGGGCTCGTCTAACGAATCTCCCTGAAGGGGAGCCTGCCTGGGTACAGTAGGCAGAATCGGAATCGAGCAGAGCAGACTTTTCATCCGAGTTCTTGATGTGTCTGTCCTGGGTGTGCTGACCTCTGAGCTTCAGCAAGGACCCTGTTGTCTGCTTGTGGAAAGCAGACAAGGGGGAGTGCGTGTGCGGAAGCACAGAGAAGATTAGCATGGCCCATGCGCAAGGATTGGACACGACCTCTTGGTGGACGAGGCTGTTTTTTGTTCAAGAAAAGAAGCAAGAAGGCGCAACTGTGTTGGGGTGGTTCTTAGGCTTTAGGGGGCTGTAAGTTCCCTAGAGGGCGGGGTGTTACCTCCCTAGGAATCCCTATTATCTGATACTGATAGCCACGTAGCTGCTGGCACCAGTCTGGCTTTTTCAATAATTACAGATTCCAATACCCCAGAACCAGAACCTCACCCCGAATCACAATTTCCTGCGGTTGTCACTACTCTTATTTTTACGGCTAATATTGTTCCTGCTCCTAGGGACATATTATTACGACGACTACTATGGGTCATTCTTGCTTTTCTCCTCGTGCCTTCTGAAATTGATTTGAGAAACCTGTGCTGCTTAAGGGTGGCTCATGCCTGCGTCTTCAGTTTTTGCTGATGCGCACAGAGTCGTGTGGATGAATGGGGCGTAGGCACCCCGTTCTCACCTCAGCTCTTTTCAGGTATGCCATGATCCGCAACCAGGGGCCTTAAAAGCACGAAGGCTGGAGCTTTTCGCATTTTCAATTGTGTTCTTCGTTGAAGTCTGCAGGCTTGCCTTCCAGCTAGTTGATGTTGCCTTGACTGGTCTGTTGGCAATTTGGGTCTCAGCTGATGGGTGCTGCCGCCTCGAAGATCGAGATAGCTGACGAAGATGGCATTGACCTCGGGCCACAGAAGGCTTTGTCGCTTGAGCCCTTGTTGGGATGCAGCTTCTATTTGAAGAGTCTGCCCCTGAAAGCCTTGGTAGCAGCCCGGGGCTTCGTGCTCGTGGCCGAAGAGGCAAGAGGAAGCGGAACCGCCGGGGTTCATTTCCCTGAGCCTTTTGTGTTGGAAACTGGGCTGTGCTTGCGAGGATGCAGGGAACGTTGCTCCTTGAGGTCTCTAAGAAGACCTTTGGATTATCTGGTGGCACAGACAGACGGTCAAGTTGTGCTCAGCCGTTACGATGGCTCTGAACAGCTTCGTACCGGGGCCACCCTGGAGATGCGCGCTCCGGAGAGGGACGGGCTACTTGACAGCCTCTCATCAGAGGGATTCTCCTCCCACTTTGTTTGCTTGATGCTGGCTGAGCGCCCGGGCCTCTATATTGCTACAGACAAGGATGGAAGATTGGTGATTCAAAAGTACACCCTCCGAGGGCGGGAAGCCTTCTACTTCGAGATGGTCAATCAGGGAACTGCTGAGATGCTTGTGGATTTGGAGAGACCAGTTCTTGGTCCTCAAAACCCGAAAGGCTCCTTTGTGGACCTCTTTGCCCCGAGCTTCTCGTTGCCGGTTCCTGGTGACCCAGGCCTTGAAGAGGCCGTGAGGGCAGCTTTGGCGCTGGAAGATGCCAAAACTCTGCCAGTCTTCGATCCTGTGGACTGAGCCGAACTGAGAGACGCTCAAGTTGCGAAGGTTTCCAAGAAGAGGATGCACCGGCAATGGCGGGTCCAGCGAAGGATGCAGGCTGGCCTGCGGCCAGCTGAACAGGAAGGTGTCGCAGGGTAAGACGGTGGAGCACGGCTCTGCGTGCTGGTCTCTCGCAAGCCTTTCAAAACAAGTACTATATGGATTGCATGTTGCACCGCCAGTTGCCTCGTTCGCACTGCCATGTGTCTGTGTTTGGGCTCAAAGCATTCTCATGCTGAAAACAGAAAGCTAGATGTCTTTTTGGCAAGAAGTTGCAGAGGCTGCAGCTGCTGCTCAATTTCCCTCGCTGAGAGGTTTGCGCTTTCGGCCTGGCGGTCGACTCCCGCTGCTGGACCTCCCAGCCAGAAATGGATACCCGAGCGGCTTCCGACAACTGCAGCTTCCAAAGCAGGAAACCAGGTCTGCCAGGGATGAGCTGGAAGGCCAAGTCCTGACCGACCGATTTGAGCCTTGGATTGGAAATCAAGCGCATCAGAGTCAGAGTCTGCGACTTTCTTGGACATTTTCATTTTTTCAGGAGCTGGGGCTCAGCTTCTATGCCTTGAAGTCTCGGCATGGTGCAGCCTGCAAGGGCATTCTGCTGAAGAACCGTGCCCTGCCGCACAACGTGCTGCCCTGGGCCGCGTTGCCCGCTTCTCGAGAGCTGCTGAAGCGAGCGCTTGAGAGCCTCGGCTTGCTGAATCAGCTCTCCGAGCGGCGCTGCAACGGCATGGCACGCTTCTACCGACCGGGCCAGGCCCTGCCAAGGCACGTGGACCACGAGATGTTCGAGGACCTCAAAGCACTGCAAAGCGCTGCAAAGCTCTGCAAAGCAGTAGCGCAGCCACTGCATGATTCGTAGCATCTTTGGCTCTGCATCAGGACACCATTGTGGGAGTGGTGCTGCGGGCCTCGTCCACAGATGGGCTGCGTTTGTGCCAAGAGACGCCATCGCCTGACGGCTCCATGGCATTGCTGGCGGAGGCTGACTGGCTGTAAGTAGCTGCTAGCTTCTGAGAAGCCGCTCTTCATCTTTCAGACCTTGAGACCCGCGTCTTGCTGCTTTGCAGGCCAAGGGGATCGGTGGCTTCAAGGTCGGGCCAAAAGTTTGAGCTAAAAGAACTGCGACTAGTCGTCCCCTGCTTTGAGGCAGCTTTTTTTGCAGAGCTCGGCTTCCAACTGAGGGAGGAAGATGGTTTGTGCTTCTGCCTCCAGGGTGCGGCACGCGAGTTGGCCCACGAGGTGCCCACTGTAAGCTCCGAACGGCTGTCACTGACCTTCCGCTGGTTCCGGGACGACTTCCTGCAAGAGCTCGAGGACTTGGAGGCCTCTCTGGAACAAGGCTGAGACGGCACCCGGGCTGTGGCAATGGGGTTGCACCCATGCATTGAAAATGCATCTGCAAAATGGCTGATCATGAGATGAATGAGACGGCACTGATAAGCGAGCTCACAGATCTGCGAGGTTGCAGTGGTCTGACCTCACCATCGAGCATGGCGTCACCAAGTGTCCTGAGTCTGCCCAAAACAAGGCTGCTCAGAGCTCCAGGGACTGCTTCGGAAAAAGGAAGGCCCTGTGGCAACTACCTGTGGCTCAAGAAGTAACCACATAGCAACGCACGCCCCTGCAG